TATATATATATATATATATATCTCCTTGTAAACATAGAGGAACTGTTGTAGAAACATGATGGGTGGTTCTCACAAATTTAAAAAACTACAGGAGCCTTTTTTTCTCGAGCCATATTGGCCTCAGTCCTCTGACTGTAAAGAACACGCTATACTTTAAAGTTAGATTATAACCTTTCATTTTTAAGATTGTGGAGCAGCTGTGCAAAATATACGTCAAGCGACTCCACTCTTTTTGCAGTCTGTAAAGAAGTCTTTCAGCGTGTTTCTGCACAAGAATCAGGCCGGGCGTAAACGTGTGAATCGTGTACTTTGAATGGTCTTAAGCATGTTGCTAGACTTGAATCTAGCCCGTCAGAAGGCTGTTTGGGTGTTTACACGACCTACAGGAGGAGGTGAAGTGTTTGGACTGAAGAAATGAAACCACTATCCGCACTGCAACAGATAATGTGACACACCACTATGCCTGTGTAAGGATGTAATGCCACTACGAAACCAGTTCCACCCAACATAATTGCGAGGTGTAATAATATGAATGGTTTTGTAACTGTTGAACCACTGACTGACATTTTTGCTCTTAAGGCTATGCGTCACTTTTATATGGCTGCTTGCCTTTTTTTGTAATTTTAATCACTATGATTTCAAATTGCCAACATGAAGTATTTTACCCTAAAAAATAGGCTGTTTTTATTTTATTGAATATTTGAAGGGCTTTTCTTCTCCCGCCTTATTGTTAGAGTTACAGAAACAAACCTAACTGCTTTTTCCTGAAACCAAACTATTATTGCATGCTGTGTTTCACCTTTTTTTTTTTTTTTTTTTTTTTTAAACCATTTCCTCATGTTCCAAGTGCCTTTGAACAACCTGTCTCTACATCGAACCTTATTTATTTCTCACCTTCTTTTGCCTTCCTCTTTTCTCCTCTACCTCAGCCCTCCCGTTCTCTCCCACTTGTGAAAGAAAGCATGCAGTAGACTTTGCTCAACACTAGCGTATTACAAGCTACACTGCAGACATCTCTGAAAATATCTACCAGCTGCTGCAATCATAAAATCCTCTACAGTAGTCAGCAAGACACCAATCTGTCTTAGTAAGCAGTTCAGGATCTACAGAAAGTTTCAGCGAAGTAAGGGATAGACTAAGCTAAGTGTGCGCGATTGTGTGTGATGCTAAACTGCAGGTCATTTCAGTGCATTCTCTGATTTTTGTGTTTGTACAGGGTGACTGTTTGTCTCAAATGATTTTATGTGTGCCAGGGTGGTGGTGGTGGTGTTCATCTGCAATGCTGCTGGCTGTGAGTTTGTGTTGTCAGACTGACAAATAATCAACATACATCCACTCAAGGCTCATATAGTCATACAATCATATTACAGTGTGTATACTTCTTTCCTTTCCTCTGCCTGGTCAAAATGATGTGTGAGTTGGTGTTGTGAATGATCTCTCCTCTCTTAGTATCTCACACCAACATCTAGATCGAGGGTGGAGTTGCATTACAGCATCCTGAGTGTGTAACTTGGTTGCGTGCATTATATTTGAAGCCTATTATTCTGAATAAACCGCCAAACTGGAATGACTTGTGTGAGTGTATCTGTGTTTTGTATAACTGAACAAACATGAAAGATGTCATGTTATCAACATTTTGCTCAGGAACTCCCTCCGAAGAGAAGATTGTCAAGATTGAGGGCTGGAAATATCACTTTTCTGTATTATTCACCAAATGCCTTGATCTAACAATACTAAAAATAATATTATAAATACAATATGGTGTTATTAATAGTAAAATAACTTCTATATATATCTCTTAATACATTTTGTTGATCAGATAATAGGCCTTCTTGAAGTAGTTTCTATCTTTAAAGTATCTTTATTTAAGTAACTTATGTTCCATTGTTTTATCACTTATATTCTGTATGTTGTACTCTGTTGTACTTCATACCGTGGTCTTGAGTTTTGAGAAAGGTAAATCTGTATTTTACGTAGTCATATCTTATGCATATTCATTTTATGTTCTTTGTAATATTGTGACATTCATATTATATAGGTGGAGGCTTCAAATAAGCCCAGTTGGCTTTTTGCCTCTTCCTGCACTGTTATGTTCGTTTATTTTTATTTGATTGTTTAAATCGTGCAAAATAAACTAAAACTAAAGCTATGGTGAGCAAAAAGCATTTGCCTCATAGTTATTTTCTCATTATTTAAGAAAAGATAAATTGATTAGTACTAATTTATATTGTTAGAATTGTGCTCACATGGTGCATATTGCTTATTAAAATTGTGTTAATTAAAATGACCACAGACGGACAAGGACAGGTAGAAAACCGGGCCACTGTTAGTAATGATCGTTCTGTTTATTTTGAAATTAGCAAGCAGTTAAATTGGGATTGTTTCAACGTTAAAATATAGTTTATATATATTTCTGTTTTCCCTCCATCGGCCTCTAGGCGGTGTGGTTTCCTTCGGCTCTTTCTTTGTGTTTCCATCTCTCGCCGTTGCCCGTGATCTCCATCATATACGGTGGCTGACAATTTTTTTTAAAAACATTTTTATGATGGCGGAGGACAGTGAATCCGCGGCCAGTCAGCAGAGCCTGGAGCTGGACGACCAGGACACTTGCGGGATAGACGGGGACAACGAGGAGGAGAATGAGCACATGCAAGGGTGAGGGCGGCCTGTCCGCTCCGGGTTGGGAAACGCAGTAACGGTTATTTCAGCTCGTTTGTGCGCTGCCTGTTTATGTGTGTGCTCGTTGGGGAATGGCTAGCGCAGTTAGCTAACGTTAGCCGACTCAAACACAGCCAGGCTGTTTGCTACAAGGCCGTCATTTAAAGCCAGTAACCACAGGAGGAGATGATTTGAAACCTGTGTGGTGGTGTCGTTTCTGTTGTTGTAAGCGCGTCTGCCTTCAGGAACAAACGTATACTCTCAGCCAGTGACTGACTGGACGACATGATGACAGCCAACCGTTCAGCCGTTGCTAACGGTCGGCTAGCTCAGCTGTCATTCGTCGCTATGTTAGCTAACGTTAGCTTCCTGCTGCTTTGGTTGTGTGTCGAGAGGCTAATGTGAGCCCCTGTTTTAATGATGTGTTCATTATCTGCAGGAGTCCAGGGGGAGATCTGGGGGCCAAGAGGAAGAAGAAGAAGCAGAAGAGGAAGAAAGAGAAGCCGAGCTCGGGGGGAGCCAAATCTGACTCGGCTTCTGACTCTCAGGAGATAAAGGTGCGAAGATGACCCACTGAAATGTGCACAGACCTTTTCATGGCAGATCCAAAACCATAACCCACTAACCTAGTTAGTGCCAGGCTGATGGTAGACCGGGTACTAGGAGTAGTTGAGGGGAAACGCAGACAAGTGTGTTTGCACACTAGCAACCCAACCCTGTTTGTTTGCCAGAAGTGGAATGCATCAATTGGGGTTATCCAACCTTAATATAGACTTTAATCCCACAGCTACTGAGGTAACCCTCATTTTAACGTGGTAGTGGCTTTTTTTAGTAAAAGCAACCTTGAAACGACATGGACATTACTGTTTCCAGTTATGTCTTGTCCATGTACACATCAAATAAGCCCTTATCCCAGTTATGAGAAACCTGAATACATTGAAGTACTCGGATACAAAACTGGGATACTGTTGCATGTTAACACCTTATCCAGGTGTTTGATCTCTGTCTGTCATGTGGGCAGGTGCTTGTGAAGCTTGAGTAATCAATAAAACCTAAAACATGATGTTAAACAATGTAATGCACACTGAAATTAAAGTGTAAGTCTCACAGTAGTGTAAAGAATTCACTTAAATTGTTGCTCCGCTCTTTAATTTCTGCTGGTAAGATGAAGAAAATCAACCGAATGGTAAAGGTCAATGGATTGGCAAATGACAGAGTGGCTGAGAGAATTAAACAAATAAATAAAAGACACCTCTCGATACACACACACACACACACACACACACACACACACACACACACACAATGTACTTTAAACTCTGGACACCGAGGCACCAGGGACAAATTCCACAGAGTTCAAGTTTCATTCATAGAATTTCAGATTTTGCCAAAAAAACGTGTGAAATCACTGCAACTTACCATGAATACATCAAATACCTCCACTATCACAAACCTGGATATTGTTTACTGGGATATGAATAACCTGGTTTCTTGTATTCCATGTAAACGCCATATCCAAAGAATGACCAAACGATAAGACCTACAGGTTTACTAGTGTGCACGTAAACATACTAACAATAACAGGGTTTGACAGGGGCATGCACTCTGTTGTCTTTATGAGTACATTTGAATTATTAAGGGCATTCAATCATATATAGAAACTGTGTGTTTCATGTTGCTGCATATCATATCATGTCACATATGCAGGACCAAGTGAATTCATGTTGTCTTTGTACTTGAATCCCACTGTCTCTGATGTATGTTTGTGCACATGTCCCCTCTCTACGTGTAGAACCCTGGCTTGCCCATTCAGAAGCTGCAGGACATCCAAAGAGCCATGGAGCTGCTGTCCTGCCAGGGTCCAGCAAAGAGCATCGATGAGGCAGCCAAGCACAAGTACCAGTTCTGGGACACCCAGCCTGTGCCAAAGCTGAGTAAGTACCTATGTAGCTTAGGCCGAGTGAGCAAGAGCATTGTTTGTTTGATTTATATGTTATTTATTTTAATGGTGCCGCAAAAATAGTCCCATGTCATGTTTGAGCTTTTATTGAGAACATGAATGCATGTGGTACCTCATGAGCTCTCAACGACTGAATTATTATTAATCATCAGGTTGGCCAATTGCTGATTACGGTAATTGCTTAATTTTCTTTCCTAACTTGAACAGTGTTACTTCAGCTGTCAGCAGAGACTCCATTTATCATCCTTCTTGCACACTGTGCACCAGTGCCATCTATTGGTTTTATTTTGTCACAGTCAGTGCCACTCAAAGCGTCCAAAAAGCACGTCAGGTGTTAAGTTCAGTGGGGGTCCAGCCATGCTCACTGGACCTGCTCAGGGGCGTTATAATTATATTAAACTGTTACGTGTCTAGTCTGTGCAGGAGGGCTACTGCCACAAAAGCTGATTTTATAAATATAACTGTCGGCAATTAATAAAAGATACTTGTGTTTTACTCAGGGTTAGTGTTTCTTGAGCAAAATGCTAAATTTACAGGTCCTTGGTAAATATGGTGATTGACAAAATGTTTTTATATCTTCTTTACAGATGAGGTGGTGACGAGTCACGGGCCCATAGAAGCAGACAAAGAAAACATTAGACAGGAGCCATATTCCTTACCTCAAGGCTTTATGTGGGACACTCTGGATCTCAGCAACGCAGATGTAGTAAGTGCTACGTTTGACTCAGACACTAAACTATACATCTGCTGATTATTATCTTGATTGAGCTGTTTAGTCCAGAAAAGGTTAGAAAACATGAAAAATGTCCATTAAAGTATTGTACAGAGCACCAGGTGACTTACAAATGTGTTGTTTTGTCCAAACTTGAGTCTAAAATGTTGTTATAATAAAACCAAGCGGGGAATGTTTTCCATTTTTGCTTGAATAAATAGTTGGCAATTCATTTTCTTATGGTCGTCTAATTGATTAAGAGACTAAATACAAAATACATTTAGTATAAATTATGTAAAAAAAGGAATTGCTTGCTGTGTGTTTTCCAGCTGAAGGAGTTGTACACGTTGTTGAATGAAAACTATGTGGAGGATGACGACAACATGTTCAGATTTGATTATTCACCAAACTTTCTCAAATGGTAAGCTTTCAGGTGTGATGTTGTTCTTGTTTATTACTTTGTTGATGTTTTAGTCAACTGCTCACCAAATATGTACTAAATATATTTTTCTCCCACTCACCGTTTCCTCCCCTCTCAGGGCTCTGCGTCCACCCGGCTGGTTACCACAGTGGCATTGTGGAGTGAGAGTGTCCTCAAATAAGAAGCTCGTCGGTTTCATCAGCGCCATCCCCGCAGATATACGCATCTATGACACGTGAGCATTCATTACCGATCATCTACGTTTGGAGCGGGGACGTGAGTCCGAAGAGACCCCTTCACTGTAATGCACACCTTCTGTCCTTCTGCCGTTCTAGACTGAAGAGGATGGTGGAAATCAACTTCCTGTGTGTTCATAAGAAGCTGCGCTCAAAGCGCGTCGCCCCAGTGCTAATCAGGGAGATCACACGGAGGGTGAACATAGAAGGAATATTTCAGGCAGTATACACAGCAGGGGTAGTACTGCCTAAACCTGTGTCCACATGCAGGTATGCTATGCAGTATCCAAACATGAAACGCATAGGATACAGTGCCAGAAAGTCCTTTAAAACCAATACTCCTTAACTCTTTTTCTCTTGTGCTTTTCTTCATTTTGCTCCTTTCTCTGTCTGTCAGGTATTGGCACCGTTCATTGAACCCCAGAAAACTTGTGGAAGTTAAATTCTCCCACCTGAGCAGGAACATGACTCTGCAAAGAACCATGAAACTCTACAGACTACCAGATGTAAACACTTAAACCTGCCATCCCTGCACCTTTTTCATTACAATCCCTATTAATGGCAGGAGCTTATATTCACTGTTTCCCCTCTTGCTCTCTTTACCCCATATAGAGCACTAAGACTCCAGGTCTGCGGCTGATGGAGAGGCGTGACATCAGCCAGGTCACCGAACTGCTACAGAAGTTCCTGCGACGTTTCCAGCTCGCACCCTCTATGGGAGAGGAGGAGGTGGCTCACTGGTTCTTGCCACAGGACAACATAATTGACACATTTGTAGTAGAGGTATCTGGAATGAGTTTCTATCCTCCACATACGTGCGGCCTGTCTGTTGATTCTTCTCTCTGGTAACAGTTGTTGTGGCTCTTGTCTTCTCAGGGTTCCGGTGGTGTACTTACAGATTTCACTAGTTTCTACACTCTGCCCTCAACTGTGATGCACCACCCTCTCCATAGGAGCCTGAAGGCTGCGTACTCTTTTTACAACGTTCATACACAAACCCCACTACTGGACTTAATGAATGATGCACTGATCCTGGCCAAGCTGGTAATGTTACACTCTGTGTAGATTGTTGTAAAACACATGGCACTACCAATAATGAACCTGTTCTGTGGTCCTATTATTAACTTTAAGTTTAGGAAAAAGGAAGGAGGCTTCCAGAGCTGCAAATTCATGAAAAAGGGCACAGTCCAGGGCCTTAACTATTTCAATCATCAACAGTGTTTACAGTTAAAGTTTCTTGCTACTGTGTGATTCATCATGATATTTATTTTGTGGCTTCTTCTGTGTGTTTAACAGAAAGGTTTTGATGTGTTCAATGCCTTGGATCTAATGGAGAATAAGGTGTTCCTGGAGAAGCTGAAGTTTGGCATAGGAGATGGAAATCTGCAGTATTACCTTTACAACTGGAAATGTCCCCCCATGGACCCCGATAAGGTCAGCAGCGTGATTTTTGTGTGAGCAAACAATCAATGAGGTCTGGTGTTAAGAGTCAATAAAGAGAGGTGAAGCAGGCCCTAGATGCATTATGTAGACATTATAGTGTAAGCAGTGTAAGCTGTATTTAACATCTGTTTTATATGAAACTTGAAATGCTATTGCCTCTGCAACGTCATTACTAAAATGCTGTAGTTAATGGGAGAGTCGTATTGTAGAAACGTGGGGCAACGTTAGCCTTCCAGCCCACAAAAGTTGTGAGGCAAAAAAAGGAGACTTATGTGAGGGGTAATGATATTAGCAGTATTGCAAAAGGAATCTTTTCATTTGCAGTGGGTTGCACCAGTTAGTTTGTGTGTAAAGTCCCTCCTAAGTTCTTGTAACTCCTAGCTGGTTTCAAACTAGGGATTTACTAAATCCGTTGCACTGGTAAAGAAAAAAAGGGACGTCTTGGATAGTAAAGACTAGTCATTTGTAGATCGGGTGCTAGGAAACTATTCACTATGTCAACAGGAAGTAGGGCTGATAATTTCATTCTTTCGTAGTTCCGTACATTACCTGCTGTGTGGAGGTATGAGGTAACACTATCAAAACTAACTAATCCAATTTTAAAGCTACAGAAGAGAGCTATCTGAATCATAAATCAGGATTATTACGAACCAACCAGGGCACTGTTTAGTAACTTACATCTGTTAATTTCATGCCTTATTGTTGTTTTTTTTAATGTGCATTCTTTTGGGAAAATTGTCAATAAGGACCAAAATAAATGATTCCTAATACTTTGACTGCGAATACTCAAGATGTAAAAAATAAAAAAACTTCAATAGTTTCTGAATTGGAACAAGCTGTCACTTTTAGTAACATCAGTAGTGGATATTAAATAACACAAAAAAACCACCTATTTCAGACGTAATTCTCCTCCGCTATCTCCACTTTTTATTTTGAAAGGGCACCGTCTGCATCGTAGCGCCGCCATTACCAACATCTGACGCAGCCGGCTTCAGCATCTGATCTACAAAATGTTTGCTTTTTTTCTTTTTTTTTTGTTTGTCAAAACTCATTTAACAACAAGTCCCCTCTGCGTTTCAGGTTGGCCTCGTCCTTCAGTAGCGGGTCTCTCCGCGGCTGCTACACAAACACTGATCAAAAGGTCGATAGCGGCCTCTGGCTACTCCTTACCTGGACGTACAGGTAGCCCAAGCTAGACAATGAGAACTACAACAGTAAAACCAACCTGGAAGACCGGGAGACGGTTCAAGAACATTCTCAGTTCACCCGGAGGTGAAAACTCTTAAATCATCAACATCCTGAATGTGAAATCATGCTATGCCTGAGACACTCGTACAGTACAACGCTCCCGACATGCACCCTCACATTTAAAACACACCAGTTCGACATACAAGAGGATGCCTTGACATTGTGAGTTTTGTTAAGTTCTTCTTCCTCAGCAGACACCTTGTTGCGAGGGACTGGCATGTCATTTAACTTCACTGACATTGATCTATGTAAATGATAATCAACAAGTAAACATGACCACAAAATGCATTTAAAGAGTTATTGATTCCATCTCCCTCTCATATCATTGTGGTCAGAAGTTTCTCTGCTGGCTGTTTTTGGGCCTCAGTAGAATTTAGAAATGCTAAGAACATGTTTCTGTGATAGCTGACGTATAAACACCATTTTTTTCCCTCAAGCATTTAGAAGAAAACTATCTTAACTTTATACACACAGCAACACAAACACTGTCAAATCACACACACACACACACACACACACACACACACACACACACACACACAAAGGATATCTTCATGGAAGGACTCAACCAACTGGTGCATTGATATACATGTATTTTCTTTTGTTTTGTTAGAATTATACAGTTACCTGTACATTTAAAGCCAGATCATATATATTCCTGTAGTGTGAGTTTGTGGTTTGGGAGGGCTTATCCAAAGTATTTTCCTCTTGGGTAGTGTAGATGTCACGGAGTTTGTTCACATAACGTGGGTTTAAAGTGGTTTTTGATGAAGAATGTATTGCGTCAATGAAGCACAATTTTTGAGTTCCTTAATTAAAAAGCAAAACGGTCCTTTTTGTTTTTCTCGGATCAGATTTGAAAACAGATGGGTTGCGGTACAGACTTGAGCTGTTTTCATGTTATAACGTTTCTAGTTTTTAATAGAACATCTACACCACATGTTGGGTTATATTCACTGATACACTCGTGCAGCTCAGGGTTATCTGCATGTGAATGGTGTGTTGTTCAGTTAGTGAGGCTGTTAAATAGGCAAAAGTTACAGTAGCTGAACAAAATACGGATGACCAGCCGAGTGCACAAGCAGGACAGAGAGTTACAGCTTCAAAGACGAGAACAACCAATACCAATTAAGCGATAACCAGGGAGGATCTGATTTTTATTATATCTATATCTCTATCTATATCTATCTATATCTATCTATATCTATCTATAGATGGATAGATATAGATGGATAGATATAGATATAGATAGATAGATAGATAGATATAGATATATATCTAGATGGATAGATATATCTAGATGGATGGATATCTATCTATATCGATATATCGATATATCGATATATCGATATATATATCTCAGAATAGTCTTGGTTTCTGTCTTGAGACAGTTTTATAGCATACAAATGGCTTACTCACTTTGAAAAAGTAAAAACAATGTTCTCAGTTAGATCTTGTTTACAGCAGCCACGGTCAGTTATTATTATTTTAGTCATTGCCACTCAGAAACTATGACGTCTTACTTTCAGTAGCCTGTTGCAAAGCAGTGAATAAGGAGCCCATAAATAGCCCAGAAGTACGACACTTTCTCTTATTAATACAAACATAACCATAATTCCCTCGCCTGCAGTAGGATGTTAAACACATTGTTCGTCAAACTCTCAAAGACATTCAAAGTGTCGATGTTATAATTGAGCAGCATGCACTCAGAACACAGTGGTTGAATAAACAAAAGTCTGTTTCAGTAAATGCATACATTTGAAATTTGAGCTTTTCCGGTTTCTTGAGGTCCATTTTTTTATCTGGATTATTTTTTTTAATGGTACTGTATTTGTGTCTGAAAAATATACTGTGGGTCTTTTTTGAGTGTGTCGTGCAGCTAAATGAAAATGATCTGAACGGTCCTGATATTTATAATTGTACTTTGCAAAATGTCTAAAGACGTATTTCCTCTTTTTCTTTTCAGTATTTCCCAAAATGTTCCGGTTAAAATACAGATTTTGGAGTATTTGTTATTTACCAGTAAGATGAAGATCTTTGATGAAACACTGTTGTCACGCCCCTCGTCCTGTGGTGGAGCTGCTGGTGTACTTGAAGGTTAACATGCTTTTGAATCGTTGTCTTACTCTGAGTTCGTTACTTTGTGTTCGTGTGGCTCTGCAGAACTCGAGAGGTCAAGGCTGCTGCCATTTTTGTTGTACTTTTTCTGTATGTTATTTCCCTCTCATCCCTTTATATATTAGCAGGAAAGGACGACCACTGGAGTCAGTGCTTCAGGGCTCAAAGATTATTTTTTTTTACCATTGAAAGGTTAAATGAGTTACATTGACAAAGACCAATGTTACTGGCGTTAATTTAACACTGAAACTGGGTTATTGAGTCAACGGTGTGCCTCATGGATGTTGGATGTGTCCCAGATGTGTTGCCTGCAGCTGTTTGAATGAACTTTGAGCATGTCAGTTTTGCTACCGTGATCATTTTTAGCATTGATGTTATTAGCCACACCCTTCAGTGAGAACTCAACCCGAAATACCTGCCTTATTTAAAAGATGTTTTGTTTTTTAATTCAGATTTTGGGGGGGGTGTACTTTTGAAACGACATACAGCTTTCTCTAACTGAACAATATTTTTATTCAAATCCATTGCAAGCTGTGAAAAAGCTGAAGAACTCGTACCAGCATCATTTAGACATGACCCCCATGCAAGTAACAATCTGTTTCAACACACACGTCGGCTATACCAGCATGGATATTTGTTTGAATAAACTCACTTTAAAAAAGGTCCATGAGTAATGCACTTCTTATGACGGGGGCAGTGGAAATACAAAGTTAGTACTTTCCCTTATGTTGATTACTTTTAACTATGAGAACTGTTAAACTCTGGGGTCTGAAATGTTTGTTATATTACCAAAGAACAGGAAAAATACATAATGTCACAGTTTAGTTTCATTCAGAAAAACATCAATTTAATTGATTGATTTCAGTTTCTGGCCAAAGAAATGTTACCTAGAAAACAGTCAATTTAAAGGATCATACCAGAGTCCTTACGAAAATTAAACCATGGACGTCTGATGTACAACAGTCCAAAACCTCAAAGATATTTAATAAACGTTCAAAATCATCATGTTGGAGAAGCTGAAACCAGAGAATTTAATGTTTCAGCTCTAGTTCACTGTAATGAATTAGGGACCTATCTCAAGCAAGTTTCAAGTCCTCGCAAATATAATTATAAACAAATGGCTGCCCAACATGTTTAAAAAATGCTTTCACAAAACTAAAAACTGATAAGGTAGTTTTATGTGAATGAGCTAAAGCAGTGGATCCCAACTTTAGAGTCTGGAGGTGAAATGCTAGATATTAAAAACATAAGATTGGTCCTTTCACTATCCAGGCAGAGTCTCTGTTTTATTTGACTGGCTGTGACTTCGACTTTTTACTCTTCTTTGCAGGGTTAGCAACTATTTTTTTCACTTTGAGAGGTTGCAGAGTGCAGGAGGAAGCAGACTCTGTGACTTCCTCAGATTCACTCTCAAGTTTCCTTTTCTGGCCCTTCTTCTCCTCGACTTCCTCCTCCTCTTCCATGTCAACGTGGTCCTCAGGCGTTACTCTGGGTGCTGCACCTTGTAGCCATGCAACATCTACTGAAGGCACTCTGAGTGCAATGGCCTCAACGGCGTCAGTGAACACCTCGTCTTCTTTGGAGGCACACTGTCTGAATCCCAGAGCGAGGACACTTTTCAGGCCCAGCGGCTCCGACAAGCTCTGGCTCAGACGAGGCACCTGGCAGGCCGGCACACCTCTCGTTGCGCTCAGCGCTATCAGATGATCCGTCATGTGAGGCGGCTTCACAGACTTGCACACAAGCAACAGTTTGAGCTCGTTCCTCTCCAGAGCTTTAGTGACCTCGTTGACGCCAATGGCCAGTTGCCTCCGAGCTGCCACGTCTGTCCAGCCGTTTTTGGGAGAATCCTGTACCTGTCCATCCTGGCTCACCTGGGGAACAAGTTCTGATGTGGCAGCAGGTTTCTGGTCTTTCTTTTTCCTCCACGGGCGAAACACTTTCACCTCTTTCTTCTCAAGACCAGTGGAAACCAGCTTGTCCTTTAGGGTTTTCAGGATGAAATGCATGTCTTCTTGTGGAAGTGGGCTCCATTTTGGAGTGAATGGTGAAGTGAAGGAGGTCTTGACTGGAATATACTTTTTGATTTCTTTTTTAACTGGCTTTCCTGCAGCGGCCATACCTCCTCTGAAATGAAGACAAGAAAGCCTGCAGTGAACGAGATACATATATATAGTTTAGTCCACCAGAGAACACTGACAAGTTTATTTTAACTAAAATGTCCCACTCAAAGCATAATAATCTTCAAAATCATAACAATATAAAAAGTAATAAACGACACGTAATAAATATTATAAATACACAACTGGAGGCCGGAATGCCTCCAAATGACGACACAATACTATTAACTTCTTCTTCACTTTACTGAGCAAGGTTAATGGATTATTATCCAAAATATATTCCATCAATATCAGTCGAGCCAAAATAACGAGGCTTGAGCTGGGCAGTGCAAATAATAAATAAAAGACAGAATTATAATTTAAAACTTGTATAATATTGGGCCATTGTTTTGAGTGTGATTGTAGGTAATAACGTGCATTATTTCAAGTTTTATTGACAGCCCCATTTCTCTGAAGGAGGAAAACATTTTTTACGGTTATCTGTTGTTATGAATACATCGACATCACGACAGTAAACAACATACCTGACAAAGAAGTGGCATTTAGTGCCTTTACCTGATTTTTAATGCGGTGAAAATGTATTAAACTGCTCCGTTCACATTATCGGTCCAACAACACGGGTGGATCACAGGGCGCTGCCATTTTGTTTGAATTGAACTAACTTTATTTAAAAAAAAAAAAAAAAGGACGTTCACAGCGCCACCCAGCATTCATTGCAGCGCGACAATCACAATGATAACGAACTCAATGAAAACAGAAAAAATGATTTCATAAAATACAAAAGTATCTTTATTTTTATTAATTTAAGCATTAACGTTTTTTTTAAATTTATTTTCTTAATGTATTATTATTTTTTATTTTTTTTATTTTATTATTATGACCTTTGAAAATGATGTATCCTGTATTCCTTCACATAATACCACAATGTAAAAGTACTCGATTTCATTTTCAGCTCATAAATTTACTGAAGTATAATAGACTAACTATTACAGAATTTATAGAGTACATATAGAATAATGTAACAAAAGTAAAAGTAGGCTACTCATTATGCAGAAAGGCCATATATTCATATAGTGACTCCGTTGCCTATAAAAAAAGCCCCCACGGTTGCTGCTTGCTTTCTTTAGATTAGTGTAATAAATGGCGAAAAGTCCAGTTTCCAAAGGCAATTTATTTCTTACAATCGCAGCATTACCAACCTAAACAGAGCACAGCCACTCTCTCTTTCATAAGTCTATTCCTTAGACTAAAGAAATCACACCATTTATCCTCATTCATTATCGCACGGTCAAAAACTCTTGCCTACTTGACAGCGGGACGACGCCCACATGTGGTGGGAGGTTTAACAAAACAAAACAATAAAAAAAATGGCTCTTAATTACATTATATTATTATTAGCGGTTACTGATGCCTCCATGTGTAAGAAGGATGTTAGTGTTTGTTTATTAAAACTAATGTTCGGTGGTTTAGTTTCAGGTCAGATAAATATAGTCCCACTTGAAATGTATTTATATTTAGAGTACAGAGTTGCATACAAAACACAAATAGCCTACCCTTCATTCTCTCTCTCTCTCTCTCTCTCTCTCTCTCTCTCTGTATGTGAGGATGAAATGCAGCCAATCAGCTCCTCAGCAGCTCTCTGCTCCCTCCTCTGCAGGCCTCCCCTCGGCCGATTATATTGCATTGATCAGCTATGGTGTAATCAGACACATCCAGCCGACGCGAGGAATACATTCATCTGAACTACGCTGCTGCATCTGCGAAAATGTCTAATCGGGTAAAATATTTTCTGCTCTTCTCTCCATTTCAGTGGCAATATACCGGAGATGCATTATCGCTATGAGATGAATAACGGTTATAACGACAGGGTATTCACGTCATTTACTGAATGTCATCCATCTTTGACAGTATGGGATGATTAAGTGAAAGTAGAGCGAGTCTAACGATATTTATATTCTGGCTCGTTGGTCCCTCTGGTGCTGGAACTACAGTTAAACTAACTTATTGCAAGCAGATTGCTTAAAAATGAGAGAAACAAGCAAATATTATTATTAGGCTATTATTAGGAAAAAAAATAAATACATTTCAGGGACATCTAAATTCCAATACTGTTTTTAGGGGTTTTCAGGTTTTTGTCGATGGTGTAAAGGGTTGCCAATGGTTTATAAATATCTGTGTTGCTATGCCCTAGATCTTTTGTAAAGTAGATTATTCAAGCTGGCACAAAAACACTAGAGTCTTGAATAAAAGCCCATTGTTTATCTCCAATTTATGCAATAATAGGTCTCCCGAGTGCTGCAGCATGACTAGAATGCTACACTCAGATTTCTTATTCAATATGCACATTCTCCTATTCTGTGATTACTACAGACTTCTGCTGCACTACATATCTTAAACGGTTTCATTTGTCAGACTTGGCAAAGAGCAGAATATAGTATGTATAAATAAATGCTTATCCTGTGCAAACATAATAGCTTAGTTTTTAATAATTTATCAGACATACAGGGAATTAATTCATTTCGGAACATTTATTATCTGCAGGAAGAGTTTCAGAAGATGGCAGAGGATGTGAAGAATGTGAAGACGAAGCCTACGGACCAGGAGCTGCTGGACCTGTATGGACTCTATAAGCAGGCGATGGTTGGAGAGATTAACACCGGTATGACTTGCAGCAGAAAAACAACATCATTTCCATGCAATGTTCCCTGAACTCTAAACATGCCCTCCGCTCTGTGTGCCATCACAATTGTAGATAGACCAGGAATGATGGATTTGAAAGGAAAAGCCAAGTGGGATGCCTGGACCTCCAGAAATGGTAACAAGTTTTAAATGTGTGTAGATATAAAAGTGGCCAAAAAAAAGCCAACGATTTAACACTGCAAGGTGTTTTCTTTCAGGAATGTCCAAGGACGATGCCATGTCAGCCTACGTCACACTAGCAAAGGAAGTCATCGCCAAATATGGCATGTAAGGCTTGCAATAAACTGAAGAGGCTAAATTAATGCAAACATTATTAAATGTTTACTAACTCAACAACTGAAGAAATGTTGCTGTCTTTATAACAAGTACTTCTGCTTTCAGAGGTCATAATCACACAGGATAAAGTGTAATTAATTTTTTATACATAGATTATAAATTGAATAAGTTACATGCATTCTATAAGGTTAACAATATAATTGTTTTTGTAATTGCTCTTTATCTGATTTATGTAGTTAATTCTTGTAATCCCCATGCACACAGCAATATACTGTATACACATGCAATATGATATGTAGCTTGATTCCTAAACAGGACAAACTGAATTCTGTCAAACATGAAAATAAAACCTCTCTATAATGTTTTTGTTTTGTTGTTATTTATAACATAATACAATTCAACAGCAACACAAACTACATCCTCCAAAATTACCATTTGAATCAACACATCTCTGAAACAGTTTCAACAAAAACTGAACATTACAACCTTAATGAAGGTACGATTTGTGGCAGGACTGTTATATTAGACCACATGATCTTTTAGCTAAGGGTACCTAACAAACTGGCAGCTGAGTGTATTTCTGCTCAGAACAAGGACTGTAGATTGTGTTCCTCATCGCGTACTGTAAGCACAGTAGACCGGGATCTCTTAATGACCTGTTTGAACAGCAGGAATGATTACAGCAAGCAAAACCTGTTTCAATGTGGGCGTATGACTATTGTTTTAAGACTTTTGAAGCTATCTTTTAGGATTCTGCTACATTTGGTTTCGTCCAAACCATGAAAAAAACAGACCAAACCAATGCTACACAAAAGTATGCAGCCAAAGGTGTCCACATACTAATGTATGTATAGTGTATTTGCAAGAATTATTCAGCTTTGCTGTTGAGAAAGGGTTACCGTGTCATCGACCAGTGAATCTGCTTCTATACCTGAATTATTTTCCAATAATCATGAATGTGGACTTTGTGGTGTGGTTTCTAGTGTCATGGTCTCTATTCCGTTCATTCACCTCGCCTCTTCTACTAATAAAATGTAGCGCCTGCTGATGCGCATGCGCAGTGCGAGCTTCCGGACTTGCACCCTGTGCAGTGGAAGGGTGCAGTGAGGTTTAGTGGGGTAAAGGTAGCCGTGGACGACAACACGCAGAACTTCACCTGTGCAGGAAGCTCAAGGCAACACATCATTAATAAGGTTAGCATCCTGATGCACTGTGAAAGCTATGAGTGGCGTGTTTACGTCAAGTTGACCGCATTTAACGTTAAGTTGCATGTCCAGCATCGTTGTTGACAATAACATTGACCCTACTAACGCTAGTTAGCTCACTGGAAACCATTATGTTCGTCTCAATTATCTTATTAAAAAAGTTAAAACTCTGGAAACTACTGCGTTCAACAAGCAGTTAAGTAACGTCGGGCTCTATTTATTTTGAAGTGGGCGTTTTAAGGCGAGTTACAATAACAATGTTTGAGTCATGTGATCGTAAAAGGAGTTTAAGAATCTACGTCAATATTGTTTTGGGGCAGATAACGTTTGCAACACAGCCATTTTAAGGCTACTTAATATTCCACAATACAACTGTGGCATATTGCAACAGTCAGAGAAACGCAGAGCCTTTTGCTTTGTCTGTTTATGTACACAACAAATATTGGCTTATTGTACAACTTGCACAGTAATTATTGTAGATGTTTTCAAAGAAACATTAGTCTTCATTTTCAGAAATAATAGTTCCATAAAAACTAGAATGACTGCTTTTTGTTTTTGAATTTCCTGTATGTCAAATCTGAAACATTTAGGCTATTTAGACTATTACACGTTTGTTTTGTCTTTCCAGTCTGAATTCCTTCCAGGAAGAAGAAATGGATAATAATTTGTCAGAGTCTCTGCGTGAGCGGACCTTCCAGTACCAAAGCAGCCTGCCGTCCCTGCCTGTCCCGTTGCTAGAGATGAGCCTTTCGAAGTACCTGAATGCAGGTAGCATAGCAACTTTGAACAACCGGACGAGTCACAAGTTCTGTTTAAGATCTTAGAAATATGCAAACTTTAAATATTTACTCAGACAAATACTGTAAACTTCCCTTCATTCCCCTTCCTTTCCTTTTCATTCCCTTATTCTTTCTCCTCTATTGATGATCTAGCACTCCCTTGTTTTTGACCAGTGAGCTTGCACATTGATGAAGAACCACTTTCCCACTCTACTCATTAGTGTAACACAACATAGGTGTGCAAGCTACCGCTAACAATGACCGGATGACACCCATGTTGGTCTCAAGGCGTTGGTCATTTTAAATACATATTATGTAAAATAAAGGCCTTTTCATTTTGCATTTTACAACAGAAGATGCTTAAAGTTCACAATGACCAGCAGCTGGAGCTCTTACTTGACTCATTTTGTGCTGCCACGTTTTCCATCAGTTCAACCATTTGCGTCTGAGGAAGAGTTTGAGGCCACAAAGGACATTGTGAGGAAATTTCAAGAGGGTGTTGGCAAAGAGCTGCACCAGAAACTACTGCAAAGAGCCAAGACCAAGAAGAACTGGGTGTGTAATGGAGCGTTAAATGCCTTGTTTTGGTTTTACAGATGTCCTCCTCAGTCATGGATGTTTTTACTGAGGTGACTGTGTTTTTAAAAATTCTTTAGCTTGAACAATGGTGGTTAGACGCTGCGTATCTGGAGGTCCGCATACCCTCTCAGCTGAATGTGAACTTTGGCGGCCCGGCGCCCTACCTGGAGCACTGCTGGCCCCCTGAAGACGGAACTCAACTGCAGAGAGCCAGTATTGGCACGTGGCATACACTACAGTACTGGAACCTGATCCGCACGTAAGACACACTTTTACAAGCTCTGTTTTTGTGGTGTGTTAAGTAGAAGTTACTCTCCTTTTTACATGAAGTCAGGTATATATATGTAATGTGTTGTTTTTTCTCTCGCTTCCATATTTTAGAGAAAGGCTGCATCCCCAGAAATCTGGCAAAATAGCATTAGATATGGACCAGTTCAGAATGTTGTTCAACACCTGCAAAGTACCTGGAGTTCAGAAGGACACCATTCGTAACTACTTCAAGACAGGTAGAATAATCTAGGTTCTTATCTCTTACCTTCAGACCCACCTGCATACTCTTTAGCACACTTTCTCAGCTTACAGATCACCTTTATGTGTGTACATTTTGTGCTGTTCCACAGAGCATGAAGGTCCATGCCCCTCCCACTTGGTAGTGATATGTCGTGGAAGGATCTTCACATTTGACGCAGTCTGTGATGGACAAATCCTCACTCCTCCAGAATTACTGAGGTAGTGATATACACACAAGTACACACACCGCTCAAGAGAATAAGCTTCCTGTTTAAGGGTTGTGCCAAATGCTGCTGACATTGCTAATTTAATGGAGGAACGTTTTATATCTTACTACAGAGTTGAAAATAATTGCAATCCATTAATGATCCCAAAGAGGTTTCTACACTCACAGTATCTTTGGGGAGCAGACATTCAGTGCTTTTCATGTCTCCTCGCCTCCCTCACCTCTTTATTCCTCCGAAAGGTGTGAGGTGTTAAAAAGGTCTTGCAAAGTATTTTATGTTACTCGGCGAACCCTGCAGAAACCCAGTAATAATGAGCTGGAGGAAGGAGGAGCACCCAGGGTTCAGTGTTGCCTCATTTTATTGTGTGTGTGTGTGTGTGTGTGTGTGTGTGTGTGTGTGTGTGTGTGT